TATATTTCTTTTCATAATTTTGTTTGTTTTTTTTTAAAGCGTGGGTTTTTTGTTTTGTTGTTGTAGAATTTTTTCGTAGAGCATGCTCAACTCGGAGGCATAATCCCAACATGCAAGTGATAAAAGTATATTAATGCAACAAAAGTCACCTTGTTTCTTTCAAAGAATACTTAACGGAATTGGTAACATATTTGTCGTCAAATAAAAATAAGTTTGTGCTTTTGACCAATTTATGTTTCACTGCAGTTGTATTGAGCGCTTTGTAATTGCTTCGAAATTCGAAATGAACTACAAGGTATGAACAAATAACACTAATGATGAGGCATTTATGTTGTTAATTTCAAATAGAAAGAATATAACAGCTACCATAACAATTAGTAAACCATCGAATAATTTTTTTTTTTTATATTTCCACGCAATTTCTTTTTAATTCTTATAAACACATTAAATAAATATTTTTTAAGATTGTTTGTTTTAAAATACTGATCACCTATCCAAATACACCTTAAAGTTTTCTTGCATGGGCTAGCGTTCAAGTTTTAAGAAGATTTATAAGAGGAGCAAATAAATTTGGTGAAAAAAGATATTTGTGATGAAAAAAACTGAAAAATAACTTTACCTTTGAGCTGATCAAACTAGACTGAACAGAAGTGTAAACTGCTTTGCTACTTTATATTTTTTTACCTGCGCAAAAAGTGTGCTCGGAAAACTTATGTAATATATCATTTGATCATGGACACGTTTAATGAATTGTCTTATTGACGTTTGTTTTTAATACAGGTATCATCGCATGTTTTTAAATTACCCTTAATGCTCTTAAGTTAAAAGTTGTACTTTTAAATCTTTTGCATATCATTCAAATAATTGTGAAAAACAAACTTGTTTCAATTGATGTCCAGGAATTAGTACTAAATGAAAACACAATTACGATGAAATACTGGCACACTCTTGAAATTTTTTTACAGATAAATTATCAAGAAGATACAATGACGATGTTATTCTTGCCCTTGATGAATTAAACGAAAATCAATATATTCAACATCTTTTATACCAATACTAATTTTTTGTTGTGAATTCTAGAACCCCCTGTTTTTCGATTATTTAGTATTTTTTCTAATATCTGTTATTTTTGTGTTGTTGAAATGAAATATATGAAGATAATGAACAGTATTCAGGCACAAAAGTCCAAACAATACAAGCTGTTTGGTCCTTGTCACAGAAGCTGAGCGGACATCCAAAACATGAGAGGTGGAATCAAGTGCTATGGAGGAGTGAGCATCTCCTGCCGACCGGACACAAGCTGTATGGTCCTTGTCATGATCGGGAAATAACGGAAAAAATCCGGCGTCAATTCAGTGTGTAAATAATGGCCTTACAATTAGTATGGAAAACATTAGTCAGCATTTGACTCAATGATAAATTTGCTGACAAGATCATTGCATCGACCATAGAACTTACCAAATGATAACTTTAAAGAGACTGCTGATATTCTTGTATCATCAACTTTTTTGTCAATAATTTACCTCGATTTAGTTGCGGGTTTTTTGAATGAGACCTTAAAAACAGAGGTCCCGTGTCACAGCAGGCGTTGGCATGATAAAGATCCCCCAATGCTCAATGGCCCCGAGTGCCGATTAACATTGTGAAACCCTTCACCGGTATATGGTGACGTCTCTACATGAGTGAAAAATTCTCGAATGGGACGTAAAACATCAATCAATCAATATTATCATTATTATTATTACAATTATGATGTTGTTGTTATTGTAATTTTTTAAAAATAAAATCTTTCAAGAAATTTTTAATGGTTTTTCATCCTCTTAATTTTTCTTGCTGTTTCTTTTTGAGTTTTCCTGCATTAGCGTTAAATATCTCGTAAACAACAAGCAAGGAAATGAATTAAAATTTAAGTTATACTCGCTTGAATAATCCTTAAACAGTTTATTTTATAACCTTTTAATCTGACACTGTAAATCGTAAATAGTGACTGATGTCTCCATTGTTGAGGCATTAACCTTTCTAGCCGAGTAATTGTGGTGCATTGATAATTAGGCCACACCATATCCCCGTAGTCTCATCAGTTATGCCTCTTTACATTTAACCTTAACTGACGACAAAAAGTTTTAATTTTATTCATAAAGAGCCCCATGTATATTTTTTTCTTTTCATTTAAATTTTCTTTGAAATGAAGTTCGAATAAATAGTCAGACGTTAATGTACATGTAATGCCTATATAATTTCAGAGTAGTTACTTTTTTACTTTGATTAATATAAGCAAATATTTCAGAATAAAAATTATGAAATAAGAAATGGCAATTCAGGTCTGTGGGTACACAGCTTGCACCGCTACGACAGATTTTGTAAAAATAAGACAGACATTAATTTATGTACCTTATTATGCAATATTTGGGTATTTTACCTAGTAATAACACATTGTATATTTTGCTGGTTGTTAAATCGTATAATTTAATTGTAATATATCATTTGATTAGATTGAAAAGTTCGTTTTTGTTGTTAAGAAAACCTCATTCTCTATCCATATTAGCCTGCTGCTACGCCACTAACACCTCTGTCAACGTTAGATAAATACGATTCTTTGTATTATTTAATGGACTTTGGAGGTTGAATGCTGCTACTTATATTTTTGAAGGATTAATTATTTAATATCTTACTTTGGTAAATTAAATTTATTCCTATTTTTCTGTTTGGCTATTCTGCATGTCAGCTGAAGAGACATACGCTCTTATTTTTATACTGCTTTTTGGATAAACCTGGTTGTTTATGGATGAAATAACATGGCTGTAAAAGCATTTTGTGGTATGGTACTTATCTCACTCAGATTTTCTAATACATTACCTGTTTACGTGGAGTCTACTAAACTCTTCTTAAAATAATGATAAACATGTGCCCTAGAAAACAGTTTCCTTCCATGAAACATGTTTTAAATGATGTAAAGATTGTAAACAACATACGTATGACATATCAGTCTCCAGGATAGTACCTCCTATCCTTAATAAAATCAGTTTCATGGAATAAGCTGCTAAAATATATTCACTGCGTCGTTTTTTGTACATTTTATTGGATCATTTTATCCACATTCATTTCAGAACTTTTGTTTATTATTTTGATAATAGAACTTTCTGTCTATTCAACATCATTTAGTTTTGTAAAAAAGAAACTAAGATTGATTTCCTTGCATAAAAAATTAATTTGGAGTAAGTCGATTTGCCTTTCAATAAAGAAACACTCCATCACAACAGTTTATCTTGCTTGATTTATATGAGACATACATTTTCCACGTTAGAAAGTGAAATCTTTAACCTTAAAAATATTCTAATTACATGTAGTTACATAAATCGGCTACTTTAAAATATGTAGACTTTTTCTTGTTATGATATATGTTTATGACATATGATTGAAAGAAGGATCATACAGACCACAACGAATGTTTATGCATCCATTTTATGGTCTTTCGTCTTCATGGATTCTATTGTCATACCCTCGCTTGAAAAGCGGGAGGGTATATAGTTATCGGTATGTCCGTCCGTCCGTGTGTTACGCTTTGTGGTACCCATCTCTTATCCGCAACTCCTCTTATACCACTGAGTGAAATTTAATGAAACTTTCACAGAATCTTTATTACATATTGCCATTGTGACCTCCTATTTTACTTTTTGATCCGACAAATATTTTGGGTTTCCCGACCACTGCAAAACATGGACTTTGCCATTATAACAATATGGGAGGCGGGGTATCATTAAGTGAGCTCATTGCTCACAATACCTCTAGTTGGTTATTACAATTAATGTCCTCTGAGTTCCTCCGGAGACAATTATTGTTTTTCTTTTCTTTTATCATTATAACATGTAATTTTTTGAAGACTCAATAGTGATTCAACTGTTTTAAGCTCACCTGAGCCAATTTCAACCAAACGTTGAACAGAATATCTTTGGGTGATGGAGCTTCAACTTCCTACAAATAAATGGCGACGCACTTTTTCAAGGGGAGATAATCAGGATTAGTGACCATGAAAGATGAAACTTTTATGGAAATATCCTCAGGTATTAGTAAAATCAAAGTTTGTCCAAATCATGACTCCCCAGCGGTAGGGTGAGGCCACAATGGATGATCAAAGTTTTAATTGTTCAAAAATATTCTTCTGAAGAACAGCAAAGCCATAATTGGTCATATTTATATGGAAGCATCCTTAGGTAGCATGGATTCAAGTTTATTTAAATCACGACCCCGGAGAAGGATGGACCTCAATGGGCGATAAAAGTTTTACATTGGAATATATAGGAAAAATCTTCAAATATCTTCTTTCAAGAACAGCAAAGTCATGATTTGTCATATCTATATGGAAGCATTTTCATCTGGTGTAGATTCAAGTTTGTTCAAATCATGACCCCTAGGTGTAGGGAAGGGCCACAATGGTTGATAAAAGTTTTACATTGGAATAAATTGGAAAAATTTTCTCAAGAACAGCTTAGCCATGGTTGGTTATATTTACATGGAAGCATCCTACGATAGTGTAGACTCAAGATTGTTCAAAAGATGGCCCCAGGGGTAGGGTAGGGTCACAATGAAAGACCAAACTTGTAGGTAAAAAGTCACAGTAAAAAAAATATATGTACGTGTAAGTGTGCATTCAATTTTGTTCAAATCATAGCCCTTTCCTTTCTGGGGTAGGTTCGGACCACTAATTTAATTAAGCTTTTCAATTATACTAAACTGATTTTAGCTTTTTTTAGTACAATGCTGAAGTGTTCGAAGTGGCCACTGGGCCTTTTGTTTCCATTATCAATCTATGAATATACCAGTCTGCTGTCTTTGTGTAGTACATACCCCGGTAATGCGATTGGGGTTTATTTAGTTGAGGTATTCTATAACCGAAAAGATCACAAAAGTGTAATAAATTTAACATATATGTGAGTATAGCTTCTTTGGAATATAATAAACAATCATCAACAATAGTGTTTTGTAGATAAAAAAGAAAACTCTTGTCTGATGATATATTTATTTTCAATCATAGTGACAATATTTTGCAAATCCATACTTCGTAGCAAATATAAAGCTTCTTTCTTCTTTCAACTGGAAACTATGCATTGTCATTTACCAAATCTCGTTCGAATCCATTAAATGTCTCAGTGTACGCTGATGTTCTCCTTACGAAATCACTACATTAAAAGAAACGTAAAAAAAGAATATGACTAAAATGTTATGACTTTTCATGATATACGAATTAGACAACGAAAACTCCACTTTAATACATAACTAATATGTTTTCCTCAACCCGCAAACTTTCACCTTTAATATAAATAATTACAAATTTACGCTTCAAAATCCTACGGACCATTTTCCAATGAAATTAGTGTTGAATAAATTACTCTTGACTCTTTTCTAGATTAACTAACCGAACACGCATTGCCTTTGTGATCCGATTCTCACACACTCTTGTCCAGATGGGCATTCAGCATTCTAAAAAAGATGGAAAGTGAAAAAAACACAACATATCATAAGTCAAATAAAACTTAAGCAAATATAATCAATCAACATAAACTCGCTTACACTTTGACATCCTATTTGCGAGGGTGCAGTCGGAGTAGGGAAGGAGGTTGGAATAGGAATGGTTGGCCCATCTTAAATAAAAGTTAAGGTTAATTCAAATCAAAATACAAGTACTTCATTTCCTTAAAAATCATACTTTAAATATATCCAAACTTTGCATATTTTGTATTTTGTTGATGTTAACCTTTTCTTACGTGTTTCAGCCTTCTAAAAAGGTTTTGTTTATCGTTGTCAAGATGTTCATCATAAATATATTCTGGTTATCAATAGACAATGTGAGCAAGAAATATATTGTATAGAATTCTACTGTTTTCTTTTTAACTTGAAAAAAATTATGATGCAAGTCAACGATTTCTTAAGTGAATACTAAGAAAAAATTTGTAGACACAAACATCTGAGACGCAGAAAACTATGCATTTTAAGTCTTACCAGTGCAGAAACCTATGTCTTACCGGTAATTTTTGACAGTTTAACGCTTACTTTGAGAAAAAAAAACCATGAGAAGAAATTATGGAAATTGGTAAGTGTATGTGAGAGAGTTTCATCATTGGCAAAATATTTTTTCATAAAATTCTTTTATCAACGCTTAAAATATGTTTACTAATAAAGTCTACTCCACTTAAACAACTCTTATAGGTATGTTCAAATTGAGCAAATAAACTAAGACAAATGTTTCATGAATACATTTTTCTAAGTATGTTTAACTGTATCTACACCACACTTTCGTCAATTTTATACCGAGGCAGGCTACATACACATAAATTGATATTAAGAACAGATGATACAAACAACATTTTTCTTTGGAGAAGAATTAAAATTATGTCACAGGTTTTGAAAAGTGGACAATTCTTAGAATTTTTTCTTCTAAGACCTGGAAATTGAAATAGACTTGGAAATTATTAGTTATATATCAATGAAATTAAAAATATGAACAAATCAGACTCAGTAAAGGTTCACATGTGAAAACAAATTTCAAAATATATAAGCTTTGGGCTAAAAGTATGATATTTTCTTTTAAAAAAGATATACCAGTCCAGGTGAATTTTATGAGGAAAAATCAAAATGACAAAATATCAGAAAAATCACATCGGCTGATTTTTACCAGTTTGCTTTTCCCCATAAAATTCGCCTAATTATTGAGTGTGTTTTGTCAATATTTGTAATTAATCTCCTTTTTAATGGATCGTATAATGGCGGTCATGTGTTTTGCCATTTTCTTTATACCAAATTTGACAAATGAATGTTCTATTAACCTGATAAATATTGGATTACGGCGTGTATGACCGATTAACTAGGGATGCCTTCTAGACCGAGGTACCTCTGAAATTCCCTACAATCTGTATGAGGCCCTTTTGCAATTTTTACTGTTTTATATTCTTTTTTAGATTAATTTTTGCTCATTACCCGCATCCTTTCTTTTGCAAACTGGAAAGTTTACATTGCAACTATAAAAATACCCTAAGACTACTTTAATTATATAATTAAGATACACTGTACATGAAAACAATGCATCAATATCCATGTATCCCTACTACAGTCTTAAAATGTTTTTAGTTTTTTTTAATCAATTTACCATTTCCATCACTAAAATAACTTCAATTCTATTTAATATGGAATAAAATAAAAATGGATATAAAAAGCAATGATATATTTGAACTTAGAAACCAAAACAAAATAAATATTAAAACTTACCTTGTATAGGTAAACAAACTCTAGACACACAGTAATATCCAGAAGGACAGAAACCCTATCAATGACATTTAGCTTTAAAAATTATGCCTTTCCGTGTTCCTTCAAAATTTTATTGAGGAAAATCAAGAAATATAACTTTTAAAAAATGTTCATTGACTCCTCAGGTCTTTTTTTTTTATTGAAGTCTTAGTCTTACAATATTTTAATTATTACGGTTGTTTCATTTTAACTCGATATAGTTTCCTGAAGATAAAACAAAATTTTATCTAATTTGTCAAAGAGTTAAAAAATAATAACCATTCTCTCTCTCTCTCACTCTCTCTCTCTGTCTCTCTCCCTCTCTCTCTCTCTCTCTCTCTCTCTCTCTCTCTCTCTCTCTCTCTCTCTCTCTCAATCTCTCTCTCTCTCTCTCGTTAAAAAACACATACTCACCGAAAATCCGCATAGTTCCCCTGAATGAAAAAAGTAACAGAATAGTAAATAAAATGGGAAAATAATTGAGTTGGTCAAGTAAAAAAAAATGCAATGAATGCACCAGACAAGAATATATACCTGGAAAATTTGGGTTTTAATTTCAACTCGAAAGCAAATTTTGGAATCAAGGCAAATTAAAGAAAAAAACTCAAATAAATTAAAGGGATTTTGTTTTTTAGAAATCAGTGATGTATAATTAATTTTACGATAAACTGAATTTCTAATCATGGAGAATCTTAATAAATGTTGTTTTGAAGCATGCAAACAATTATGGAGTTACCGATTTTGATAACGAAATATTTTTTCTTTAGTTTCTTAATTTCATATAATAAAACTTGAAATCATACTTGGAAATTTGTAAAAATACTCTAAATAATGTTATCTTTACTTCAACCATTTGGTTTTAGAAAATTGATATTTTAAAATAAATAGATGTTAATGTATGTAAAACTAAATGTCTGAAGATTTAAGTCCCGATCGTCTTCATCAACCAGCAAAAGCGTATACTGACATTTTTAATTCTGTCAGTGAACAGCAAAAAATGTCTTTGGCATTGTAATTGGTTAAAATTTAATTATAAATTTATTTATACCTCATTATTTCAAAAACAGATTTTGATTCGGTGATTGATCTAATATCGGTGTCGGCGAACTTATAATATATATTACAACAGCGTTGATGGCTTCACTTAAGATTAAGATGTGTCGTAAGACCGTGTTAAGATATGTCTTAGTTCTAAGATAGCATCATAAGCATGCTTACAAGGTCTTGAATAATAAATTTTTCATGTAAATATTTTGGTCGCCCACGTGGCTACGTGGTTTGAGCATGCGATCTAGAGTAGCGGAGTAAGGATCGAGTTGATCCTTATGTGCAGTGGGAGTATACCTCGTTGCCTGCGCCAATTTAGCCGCTAGAATATGAAGCCCGTTTTTTTAAGTACACATGTGTTGATTCCGACGCCTGGCCTAATTGTGGTAAATAGTGTCACCCACTCACAGTACCCATTTCACTGACCATACGTTACGGCAATGGTATATCAAGAATAATTTACACTTACATATGGATTTTTTTTTCAAAAAAAGGAGCTTAGGGGGCGTGGGGGATGGCTTGTGAATATTTGACGTTCAAAAGAGAAATCTCTATTGCAACAAATATAGCAATACTGCTGTAAAACTATCAGTTATAAATAAATCACATACTGCATCTTCTTCTGTGGCATGTTTGACCATCGGGGCAATTGAAATTCTGCAAGAAAAAATTAATTTATATTTTAATTAATATTTTTATATCACCATCACAAATTAACATAAAGATGACACAGAAATGAGTTTGTCTCTTTTGAATGTATTCAAACAAAGTATCATACTCAAGGCAAAATGTGAAATTAAAAACAAACAAACAACAAACCTATTTATAAACAATCGATCAATACTGACCAGATAGACGGAACGTTACGTAGTCAAGTTCAGCATAGATACGTCGGCGTTACAATTGGTACCGGTAAAGTCAGTCACAGCACGACCGATAACAGTTTTTAATAGCTGAAAAATTCTATGAAAAGAAACTTGATGTTTTATTGAACGCTGAGCTTGTAAATACCCCAACGAAAATAAATGATTTCGCAGTATTTATAAACAATTACAAATCAATATTGACCAGATAGACGGAACGTTACGTAGTCAAGTTCAGCATAGATACGTCGGCGTTCAATTGGTACCGGTAAAGTCAGTCACAGCACGACCGATAACAGTTTTTAATAGCTGAAAAATTCTATGAAAAGAAACTTGATGTTTTATTGAACGCTGAGCTTGTAAATACCCCAACGAAAATAAATGATTTCGCAGTATTTATGAACAATTACAAATCAATATTGACCAGATAGGCGGAACGTTACGTAGTCAAGTTCAGCATGGATACGTCGGCGTTACAGTTGGTACCGGTAAAGTCAGTCACAGCACGACCGATAACAGATTTTATTAGGTAAAAAATCCATGATAAGAAACTTGGTGTTTTATTGAACGCTGAGCTTGTAAATACGTACATGCGTATACCCGAACATTCCCATTCCAATGACGAGCCGCGGTGTAAACCAAAAATATTGTTTGGTCAACCTCTCAACGCCAAATTAATGATAAGTAGTGTCAGCTAGGTAAAATGTGTTTATTTTCACAAAAAGTTATTTTCACAAGTGTTTTAAAAACCTTCCATTTAAGCCGTTTTGTTTTTTTTTTTTTGGTCGCTCACATCAAGTATTATTTCTTGAATTTTTGGATTTATGCTTTTGGAATGTCGATTAAAAAAAATTCCATTCCGAAAGCAATGTCTTTGAAAAACATGTATACGCTAGCCCCAAAATAGTAGTAAATATATAGTGAGTTTTCGGATACCATTTCTAAAACGGGGAAAAGCATAAAATACAAGTAATAATATCCGACGTGTGCAACCAAAAGACCGATTTTACTAGGAGCATGCTCTTGAGTATCAAATAAGACGCTAGGAGGTGTAAGAAAATGTTTAAAGGATATAATTATATAAAAAATTGGGAAGTTGACGATGTAAAAGTTAACGTCATTTACTTTGTCGTACAATATAGTAGTTGACCCTTACTGTCTAAAGACAGTAACAAATATGGCATATTCTGTGGTGTCTGTTACTTCATTCTTACCGTGATATAACAAATAATCGTCGGTAAGCCCACTAGTTCAAACCAAAAATTAATAAAGAAAAATGAAATTTTAAATAAAAAAACCAAATTATTAATTGAAAAAAAAAACACAACAAAATTATAAAAGAAAGCGAAACTGAAACTAAACTACGATATTCATAGATGTGCATGGAAACATAACCCGAACCTTTGAATAAATTCTTTATTTTTGATTTGCACTATTGGGCTTCCGTATATATCTCTAATCAATAATTGCAAAAATTGCATCCTAAAGCTACATGTATACATGTAGATGTCGTCTCTGAGCTAAAAATAAAATACGAGATTTAAGTGTTGATTAAAATGATATTTTCTTCTTAGTTCAAATTAATTTTTTTACCGATTTTTAACTTAAATTATCCCCATTTTTAAAGGTTATATTGACTTTTTAAACTGTGTCTGATATTTTTATCCGAGTGGGAAATAAGGATATCCATGAAACGCGTTTAACTATATTTTGTAATTTACAGGAAAGACCTTTTTTTATATAGAGTACCAAAAGCAAATAGAAAGATCTTTTTAATTTGAGTTAGTCTGAACATATAAAAAATACGCCATATATGACTTGAAATATACCCTTCAAATATGCTATATGAGCAAGTTACTATGTTAAATCAGTAAGATTGCATTTGACCTTTCGAAAGATTGTTCATCCAAAAATTTGAAGTTTCCATAACATTTAGATAAACTAAGATTTTTAATATATTTTCATGTGAAATGCTATTACAATATATTAATTCATGTAAAATGCTATTACAATCTATAAATATTAACTTCAAATCTGTGTCTATGCACCTTTAAAAGTTTAATAATAAACATTCAGAACGTATACCCAAGTTTGTCATATGCATGTATGTGTTAAAAGATACCACAAAACAAAGAAAAAGAGAATCTTACAGTCTCAGATTAGAAGGTTAGTTTTGTGATTAAAAGTAAACTTGTGCTATGCTATAAGACAAAGACGACGGCTATATTGTATATACTTACTGATCTGCAACCTGTGAAACAAAATCATATAACATTTAGATAATAGATCTGATGAAAAAAAATATGATGCTCTTAAGCAAAAATAATTGATGTATTTCTTGTAACTTGAATAATACAGCAACTTTACAGTAATGAATTTTATTATTTTGTTTTTGGTACCGTTTTACTTAATGATATCGTTCGATGCAAAACATAAATTAACAAAATTTAAAAAAAAATACCCTGGCTTTCCACAATTGCAGGTGAGTATTTAAAATATATCTTTTAACAGAAATTAAGATTTATAGTAAAAAATGTTTTTGGTAAAAAAAAATGCATGGTGTACTCTCCAACACTTACAAACAAACATATCCTCACACCCTCCTTCTCTCTCTCTCTCTCTCTCTCTCTCTCTCTCTCTCTCTCTCTCTCTCACACAAATTATGTTTTTCTTACAGTTAGTGTAAAATGACATTATAAAGTTTATATCCCATTTAAAATTATGACATACTTGTAAATAGTTGACATTTTCCATTTACGCACTCTGCCCTATGGGAATCTGGGCAATCCGAATCCTGAAAACGAAACCAAAAGTAAATTATACATGATAAAGAAGTATCATGCATGAAGATAACATAAATCTCGTATTTATCATGAATAAGGATGGTTTATCTCCATTTCAGGAATGGGAATGGGTGTTGTAATTTAATTTCAAAAAGAATAATATTATACATTTGTACAATACATGTACTTATATTAAGGTGTCGGCTTTAGGCACAATGTCATTTTAACATGTACTCTCTTTGAAAAGATATACAATTATGGAATCTTTGGTGTTGAATATGGTTTGTTATTCACCAGAAATATCAATATTGAAGGAGGCGAAACAGTTTTTATTAGTAACGTATACATGCATATGTATCACAAACATTTACCAAAAAAAAAAAATGTAATAATTATTTCACGACTAATTATATACCCATTTTGTTACTTTTTGATTTTTGTGGTGGTTATACAGTATTTTGTCTTGATTTCCTTTTTTATCAGGAAATGATTTACATTTGCTATCAAAAATTACGACTTATATGTTTTAATAGCATTTCATACAAAATATATTAAAAATTTTATTGCATCTTAAAGTTATTGAAACTTCAATTTTTTTGTTTGGGTTTGATTGACACATCCTTGCACTCTAAGAAATTTTACTTTTATTCTAAATAATTAGTAAATGTGGCAATCTTGTTGTGTATTAATGAAAAATATTAAGACTTATAAATTCTTTTAAATTTAATTTTTAAAAATCTTTTTGGTGTCTGGAAATTTACAGAACATCAAATTTGCGAGGTCATTATGAAGTATCTGCTTGAATATAATGTGTTTTTTCCAGGAGAATCAATTGGGTGATCGATCAAAAAAAATTCAAACTAAACAAATATGTGAATAGGAAATAAACACGAATCCCCTAAAAATTCATGGTGGGATCAGGTGCCAAGGAGGATACTTAAGAATGCTTACTTTCAAAGGGGTTGTTGAAATTTCTGTAACATCAATTAATATGTCAGTAGCTTGCCTTGGTTTAAAAACAGAAAAAGGTAGAAGAAAGTCATCAAGAGCTAATCTGTAATGGGTCCGGGCGATAGATGTGCCTATTCCTATCACAGCTCCGGAGCATTTCCATGACGACTACTTAAATAGCGAGGGGACTATTCATTGATCCTGCAGGGCACATGTTTGCGCGAGCACAACTATATCTTTATAATTTAGAGGCATAAACATACGTTTACCTCTATGGGAGGTACAAAATACTTTTTATTTTTTAAAAATCTCTTGAAAAAAGAGACTCTGAGATGGTGAAAGACTTACCTTCCTTCTAGATATAATATTTAAAATTATTACATTGTAGAAATATATTGCAAACTAATATAACATTGTAAAATACCACTCAATTTTCTCATAATTATACAGAATTTATAAGTCTAAAAATGTATGATCTTTATGTCTTTTTTTTCAAAATAAATTTTCTTTAGAAGAATTCTGTAATGGAGCTTAGCCAGGGCCCCATCCCTGGTAGCTGCTAGCTTATTAGTTCATATAATAATTGTTAATGAGTAGGATCTGTGAAATAAGGATTGAAAAAAAACCATAGGTTTGCCAGAAAATATGCAAGATGCGAGCGTTTTTGCAAATTCAAATTCATCTCAGAGGAGACTGGAGATATTGATTTCAGAGTTGAAAAGGTCATTTGCGAAAAGTGCTATGCTAGTACAACCCGGCGTATTCTTTAAAGACTTAAAAGCACTACCCTTATCAAAACTCAATTTACTTTCAGCTGTCGTTGAAGTACAGGAAGACCATAAAAAATCCATTTTTATTTTAAAGTTTTGCTTTCTAGCCGCAATGTTTACAGACTGATATTATACACACAACAATGCATACACAATCGAAACAACACTCAAAATGAAGATTTATGCAATAAACAAAACAAATACATACATAAGTAATTTTGCTACAAATGTGACAAAATTTAGACACATGAACTAATAATTTGCGACAAAATGTATGCAAAAGATAATTTGCACCATATCCTGACCAGGTGTAAATTTACTCAACTGTGCAGAATTTGCATGTAAGCAAATCAGTTCATACGGCAAAAATTGCACATGTGAGTAAATTTACATATGAGTAAAATATACTGACGTATGCAAATCATGTCTTATGAATGGGGTATAGACAGATATTTGATATTCAGTAATTTATCTTTGTAGTACTTACAGATGTGCATTCTCGATCTGTAAAAACATAAAAAGCGAATATTTTAAGAAATTTTTCTTTAATATATGTTAGCATAAAATATTTACCTCGATAGTATACAACACTATAGCTATTATTATTAGTTATTATATATCTTTACACATCATGAATATATTGCTATAATAACATAAAATAATATACCGACCTCTTTCGCAAAATCCGTTTGTACAGACGTACCCAGAAGAACAAGGGAGGTAATCTCTTCCATAACATAGTGCTAGTTTTATGAAAAAATATTAGTATAAGAAACTTATACAAGTAAATTTGTGCACCATTGTTCCAAGTCAGATGTTCAATCACTGCTTACCTGAAGGTGGCCACACACATCGACCATTTTCGCAAATGCTTCCTGGGTAATTTCTGCAATCCCTCTGCAAGAAAAATAGGGTTGATATATTTTATCATTTAAAAAGATTCTATAATGTGATAATGTGTGTTTTCCTTGTAACCCCTCTAATTCTAGAAACGCAATTATTTTGAATGTTTTAGAAGGCATTGTTTCTCCTTTGTTTACATTTAAAAAGACAACAACTACATTGTATATATACTTACAGATCTGCATGGAATAGAATCTGTAAAATATAAATGTTACATTTGTATCTCTTCTGAAAAAATATTCAGCACAGTTAATTTCTTTAAAACGTGCATTTTAATGTTAGATTTGTTAAAAAAAAATTGCAAAGGTTTTCTTTGAATTTTTTTTTTTTTTTTTTTTTTTTTTTTTTTTTTGCAAAAAGTATGTTTTACTTGATAATATATTATAAAATCTAATATTATTAGCAGTCTTATAACCTTACACATCGTGAATTCATTAAATAAACACAAACTGCATTTTCTTTTATTACGGACCTCTTCACACAATTTTTGAAGAGGCAGCCTTGCTCAACATAACTACGTACTTGATTAGTTTATTTAACACATAGAAGCAGAGAAGATTTTCAAAGAAATAATGCATTTTCACTAGGGATGGGTATCGCCAAAAATTTCGTATCGCGATATATCACGATTTTCCCCCCTAAATATCACGATAATATCATGATATTTTTACAAGCAATTTTTACAATGATTTTTAATGAATTGTAAATATTTTTCTTAAAAATGTGCTAAAAAAACAAAATTTCACTTTTTTGAAATTTTTATGTACATAGAATTAATCATGTTTGGATGTTCAACATTTTTAGACTTTCTATAATTGTAATTTGAAAGATTGAACAAATAAATGAACAGTTTCTGGACTTTATAATATGTACCTAAATAACGGTATTCAGGTTTCCGTATCACGATACGTATCACACAACAAAAAATCGCGATATACCGGTATACCGATAAAATCGCACATCCCTAATTTTCACTATATAATCTATAAAGCCCCGCCCTAACACTAAAACCCCTGACCCTGGGGCCATGAATTTCACAATTTTGGTGGAGGACTCAATGCTTATTACATTCATGCGAACAGTATGACTGCTTGATGTTCAGGAGTAAAGAAGAGGATTTTTAAAGACTGCATTAATTTTAGTAGTTTGTGCCCCACCCATCAGGCCACAGGGGGCAGGGACGATGAAATTCACAAATTTCGTTCCCCTTCACACGTATATGCTTCATGCTAAATTTGGTTGAAATTGGTTGAGGGGTTGCAGAGGAGGAGCTGAAAATGTTAAAATGTTAACACACGACGCACACTGCCGCACGACGATGGACGAAAACGGATAGCAATAGGTCACCTGAGTAAGAAATGAATGGTACTGGCTTAATAAGGATTACAGATGGTTTATTGTATTATCTGAAAAAAATGCAATCACAAAAGTATTCCATTAGGATTTAAGGATTGCTGCTAGGCTATCATTTAATATATATGATTGTTTATTGTATTATCTAAAGAAAAAAATGGTATAGATGAAAACAATCACAAAAGTATTCCATTAGGATTTACAATAATTTTATTCATTGCTGCTAGGCTATCATATATATATATATATATATATATATATATATATATATATATATATATATATATATATATATATATATATATATATATATATATATAAATCCAAGTAAAATCACAGTGGTCGGTGATAAATATGAAAATTATTTTAAATAAATAAAAACACAGAGAACGAGTAAAACATAAGCGCTTTCATTTCTTCTTCATGATGTTTTACAATACTCATGGTAACGTCTATTATGACGTCATAATAACTTAACGTCAACAAGTCTTTGATTGACGTCATATTTTTCCCGTACTTTCACAGAACAATGCATCAACAAAGCATACAATAACAAAGCAATAAATGTGACTCAGTAACATAATTTACATGTAAAGAAACGAATCTTTTACATTAAACTATTTAATTTAGGTTTGAAAGTCCTTATAAAATGTCTTTCTTTATCACGTCTTTCAATTGTGTTAGAGTTGTGCAGTTTATAAAATGGAAAGACAGTAAAAGTTCTATTTCCGCACACGTCTAAGTGTTCACTGACTTTGAGTTTGCGATATTGCGGTACGTTTATTTGTTGTTTGTGTACTCTGATCCTTTCCCGTAAGGCACTTCCCGTCTCGCCGATATATAGTTCCCCGCAACCGGAACATGTTATAACGTATATAACATTTCTAGTTTGACATGACATGTTATTATTAACAGTAAACTGTTTCCCGTTAAAGTTGAAACTTTGTCCTTGTCGTATGTATGGGCAGGTACCACAACGCGGATCCTGGCACTTGGTCACATGAAATTCTGTCGTTTCTTTAAAAGAGGACTTTGTGAGAATTCGTCTGAGGTTCTTCGGCTGCCTCCTACTGTTTATGAATTTCCGATTTTTAAATATTTTAGACATAGTTTCGTCGGTTTTCAAAACGTCGTTGAGTTGGTAAACAATCGGTGCAACGTTTGTATTCTGGGGATTATGGGTCGTTACTAAAGGCAAGATCCTGGAATCCGTCTTGTTTTGTTGCACAGGGTTGAGGAGGTCCTCTCTGTCTAAATCCATGGCTTTTTTAATAGCATTATCAATAATTTTTTCGGGATAACTTTGTTTCCGTAGATACTCTTTCAGTTCTTGTAGTCTTTGTATTTTGGTTGTTTCCTTATTTACGATGGTGCATATTCTCCTTGCTAAATTATAAGGGATGGCTCGTTTTGTATGCCGTGGATGGCACGAATTAAAATGAAGATACTGATGCGTGTCTGTTGGCTTGTAATAGATATCTGTCAAAATGACATCGTTTTCCTTAATTACCATGATGTCCAGAAATGGAATTCTATCTGTACTTTCCTCCGCTGTAAATCTTATATCAGGATTAAGTTCATTCAGTAATGTTTTAAAGGTAGACAATTCGTACTTACTGTATTTCCAAACAATAAAACAGTCGTCCAGATATCTTTTCCAGTTGTTAGTAATATAAAGTTTCACCTCTTCGTTGATATATATATATATAAAGCACTAAAAATGACCAACGACACGAACAATAAAAATTGTCAAATTTTCGGGACGCCCTGTCCCTTCCTCAGGACAAAGAAAAAAAGTTAAAAAGTCATAAGAACAAAGGAAAAAGAGAAACAAAAACAACTAGCACTACTACTAAACTACTAAGCACTAGATATTTACATACTTAATTACATGGTGAATTGGAAATTTTTAAGAACACTAATAAAGAAAGAAATCCGGACCGCTATGAAATGCGTCCGGTCTATCGGGTATACTCGGGTGAAGTGCGATTTACATAATTGAACGAATTAATTATGCTAATTAATTACGACAATCAGTAAATCGTACATTGTTTCATTCTCTCAAAATGGCGTAACTTTACTTAATAAAGAATAATCGAAGAAAAATAATATAGCAGGGATATTTAAACATATGAATTATGATCAATTATAAATTTTGAAATATTTAAGGACTTATTACCGGGAAAAATAATTAACAAAGGTGTAAGCAATACATAGTTATGAGAGTTGTTCGAGAGTTGGTGACGCAAATTAACTGTAGAGTTTACACTAAATTGAGAGAATAATCTTGTTTAGTATCATCAGGAATTGGGTCTAGTTTACGTTCATTCTGGTGAAGTCATTCAGTTTGTTAATACCATTAGGGCGGAATGACTTCAATCTGTGCATCCAGAACTTTTCTTTGATTTTTCTCTGAGCATCTGTCCATCTTGGGTTATGGTCAATCACCACTACTGTCATAGCCTTTGTAGTTACCCATAACCCAAGGAACAGAAACATCCTTATGGACGCTAAAAGATTTTATCCCATTTTAGAACAATCGGAAAACATGAAAAGTTTAGTTCAACCAAATGATATCATAAACAGTCGACAACAAGCACAAAATCTTAAAAAAAACTATTGACCAAGGCCCGTTTTACTACACAGGAGGAAATTCCAACCATTAAAAAATGCGGAGATCCGAGATGCGGAACGTGTACATATTTAGAAGAGGGGAATAAAATCCAACTTAAATCAGGAATGGAAATTCGAACCAACTCATCTATGAACTGTAAATCGGAAAACGTCATCTACTGTGCCATCTGTCCGACGTGTAAAGAATATTATATTGGACAAACGGGAAAACTAAATGCCTGGGTTCGTGTGCACAAACAACAAATTAAAGACCCTAGTGTGCGTAATACACCGTGTTGTGAACATTTCGCAAAATGTGGCAAAGGAATATTTAAGATTTTCCCTTTTTATAAACTTCCAAATGAAAACGAAAATTTACGTTTGGCAAAAGAAGACTATTTTATCAACCTCTTTAAACCCAAACTTAATCGCAAATGATACTATATATATTTAATATTTTGAAATTTCATTTGTATAATGTGTGAAAGTTAGTGCAAGATTTGTACATTAACGATTACGCCAACTTAACGCTACCTACATCTATTATGACGTCACAATGAACTTTATGCTTTTGACGTTACCAGGTAACCTACCTGACATATGTATAACTGCCTGAAAAGCCGAACATGGCGAAAGCGCTTGCAGTAAATGTTTTGTGATATTTTTGGATTTTTACTTTTAAATATACCAAAAATTGTACCGATTCTTCATTTTGTTTTGAAACTATATATATATATATATATATATATATATATATATATATATATATATATATATATATATATATATATATATATATATATATATATATATATATATATATGTATGTATATGTGTGTGTGTGTGTGAGGGTGTGTGTGTGTGTGTGAGGGAGGGTGTGTGTGTGTGTTTTTAAATGTAGTATGGTAGCAAGTGTATAATAATAGTACACCGTAATAAATCTTTCATTTTTTTCGAGGGGGGGGGGTAAGGAAAATCTATTAGACTAATATCAGTCATGCAGAAAAAAAACAAACTCTGTTGTTAAAAGATAGAACCACTTATCTACCAAACCTTTATAAACCCCGGGGTGTAAAAAAGTTTTGGACATTTAACAAAAGTGCCATTTTTCTTACTCTAGGTTTTTTGGGAAGGACATTTTTAAAAATGTTACTTTCACTTTATGATCGCTCTTTGAAATCAACATGGCCCTTTATTTGAACAAATTTGAATTCTTGTATCTAAAGATGTATTGTCGCAATTGATTAAAATTTACTCAGTGGTTTTTGAGAATAAGTCGAAAATGTAAAAAGTTTACAGATAGAGACGGACAGATATACATACGACAGGATTATTTGATGAAAACAGCTCACTTGAGCGTTCAGTTTAGGTGAACTTTAGAAAAGGGACCTCACAAATAAAGGATTTTCGAGATAAGAAGCTTTTCTGAACCCCGACCCCACCTCCCAAACCCGTCCCAAAGATAAAACGTTTTGATACGGGCATGAATAGGTGCGAAATCATTTCTGAATTGACGAGGGATTTTCCCATTATTTCTCAATCATGACAAAAAGCACACGGCGGGTGTGACCGGTGGTCAGGGGATGCTCACTCCTCCATTGCACCTGATCCCACCTCTGAATTTTAGAGGTCCGTGTTTGCTTTGCTCCTATTTTGTATTGTTAACATTCTAACTGAAATACTGACCTCTTCTGCAAATCCCGTTTCTACAGACGTACCCAGAAGAACAAGGGAGGTTACCTCCTCCATCACATCTTGCTAATTGAATAAAAATATTATTATTAGAAACTTACATAAGTAGCATTGTACGCCATTGTTCCAAGTCAATTGTACAAGCAACGCTTACCTGAAGGTGGCCATACACATTGACCATTTTCGCAAATGCTTCCTGGAAAATACATGCAACTCCCCTGTAAGGAAAATAGACTAATTATACTTTCATATTTAATTATAATGTTACAATGTTTGTTTCCCTTGTATCGACTCACTTTACAGGTGTATGTTTTAGACGACATTCATTCGTTTCTCGTTTGATTTTATTTAAGAAATGAATTTAATAGCTACCCATTTTATACGGTATAAACTGAGTTCGGGCAGTTTACGCTTTATAAACCGCGAAGCGGTTTATAAAAAAGCGTCAACTGTTCCAACCCAGTTTATACCATATAGAATGGGTAGCTATTAAATTCATTGCTTACAATTTAATTTTCATTCATTTGATGTAAGAAAAAAAAATGATTGTTCTTAGACTAACCACAGGAGTCTGAAGTTTTTATCGTCCAAAAAAAAAAAATCCGGAAAATTTTTTTCCTACCCTTAACTAAAAAAACCCCAGGATGGCAACGTGTTTTGGGGGGACCCACCTAAACAAATAGATCTGGGCTTGGCCAGAAAAATCTCGCGACTAATTCAGTTTCCGGAGCGTTTTTGTTATTCATTTAATGTGAAAAATTCAATCTGCTTGACGACTACGGGCCGTTCCTAGCCCCTTTTCCACTTTGACAGCTCATCCTGGACTCCATGCCACTAAACCGGAAGAGAATCTCGCAGTGTATATTTGACGTTTATGAAAACTTGTTCAAATGAAATAAAATAAATAATTGTTCAACGTAATTTTATTCAGTTATTTTAAATATATTTAAGAGAACTTTAAAAAGTTATTTATTCTTTTTCTTACTTGTACGACGATGTGTTCCAAGGACAGATTATTCAGTTTTTACAAGCGCCAAATTTAAATCACTGAAAAGCCATGTCGACAAAGAGCCAAAAGGATAGATTAAGCGCCCTTATAAAGCATTACTTTGTTTGAAAATATATATCTTTTTATTGATCACGTATGGTAACATAAAATTGTACATGAAGTTTTACATGCATTTTTTGGTTCTTTTCTTCAATTACGTCATATATTCACCTCGGAGTTCACTTCCGGTTTAGTGGCATGGAGTCCAGGATGAGCTGTCAAACTGGAAAACAGGCCATGAACAGCCCGTAGTCGTCAAGCAGATTTGATTTCTTAACTTGAATAAATAGGACAAACACTCCGGATACTAAATTAGTTGCGAGATTTTTCCGACCAAGCCCAGATCTATTTGTTTTAGGTGGGTCCCCCAAAACACGTTGCCATCCTGGGGTTTTTTTAGTTAAGGGTAGGAAAATTTTTTTCCGGATTTTTTTTTTTTTTTTTTTTGACGATTAAAACTTCAGACTCCTGTGGACTAACAAAATGACTTCAATTTGTACAAAATTTGAAGGTAACGTCAGGCGGATTGATACGTTTTTGACGCAAGTCATTGCGACGTAGGCAACCCATTTTTACGATATAAAGTAATTTTTTTATCCAATCAAATACAGCGTTACAACCAGAATTAAATTATTTCAATATATAAAAACTCTATTTTTACAAAACTAATATGTTTGTATTAATTGATCTTTATCTAATATATAATTTCTGCGCCATTGCACATGCAGTCATATAAAGAAGTAAATAACTGTTACGAAAGATATTTTAAGAAATGTGTATATTTATCTGAAAGTTTCTAAGTACGAAAATAATTCTTACCCCACATTCAAGAGTTTCTACAAATGAAAAGCCGTAATATAATTCAAGACATTCTCAAGATGATCCACACATACTAAATAGTCGGATTATCATAAGAATATAATAAAAAAAATAAAGATATCATTTGTCAATACCTTTATATCTAGTTTTATCAATGCAAATAGTACCAGTATGTTTTCTCAAATGATTTCGATCGAGCGAAAAAAAAAACAACATGTAAATAAAATTTTTTATAAAATGAATGACACTGGCTTATTTCAGATCACAGGTGATTTTTTTTATTGGATAATCTGCAGAAGAAAAAAAGGTATAGATAAAAACAAAGACAAAATATTCGATTTTTCATTCATTTTTTTCTTTTGTGCTAGGCTATCCTCTGATATATATGTATATATAGATGTAGTATGATAGCAAGTGTATAATAATGAAAGTAATAAATCTTTCATTTTTTTTCCGAGTGGGGGGGGGGGGGGGTTAAGAAAAATCTATAAGAGTAATATCAGTCGTACAGAGAAAACAAACTATGTTGTTAAAGGATAGAAAAACTAAAGGCCGAGATTTTTAACCGTACGGTTTTCTCAGGTAATGAGGGTGGGGACTTAATTTTACATGCGTGGTACCCGAGGCATTGACGTTCGTGCAGTCCATGGAGAACGCTTATTCCTAAACGCAAACTTTATACACAGGATGTCCATGAGTATTATTTGTACAGCTTGTTTGGCGTACATTCGATCGTAAAATTATTAGATATCGACTAGATATAGAAATAGAAAATATCATTAAAAATAAATGATTATTGAAAAATTCCATGATTTTAGATCTTTCCTAATATCAAACAACAAATCTCACCAGCCGAATTTTGTAAAAATCTACGTCACAGCAGCAATGAGTTGAGTTCATTGTAAAAAAAAAATAATAATGATGAAATACAGGTACAATTTCAAAAGGAAAATATTCCTCCTTGTCTGTCTCTTTCAAAATTTTACAATCTATCAAAGTTTTCGTAAATATAGCAGAGCTTCGATAACGACCAAAAGAAAGAGTTACTTCTCGTTTGCACAAAAAGTCGCATGGTCCTATTTTCAGCAAATGTGTTTTACTGTGAAAATTCGCGTGACCGACGGTTTCGTAAAGTGAAGGATATGGAGATAACGAACAGTATTTAATATCAAAGTCCATAGAACGATACAAAATGGGAGCAGGGCAAACACGGACCTCTAAAACATCAGAATCATATCATGGGATCATATGCCATGGAGGAGTGAGCATCTCATGCTGACCGGTCACATTTGCCGTGTACTCCCTGTCATAATTGGGGAATAACGGAAAAATCCGTCGTCAATTTAGTTCAATAAAGTTATAATTATAGATATATGTGTGCATGAAAGTAAATTTAGATAGTAATAATAAAACAACTTAAAATGAAATATTAATTTATTTTTGACATATACCGGTATATCCATGTATTTCTTCCAAAACTATTTGAACACCTGGAAAGGAGGTAACAACCCTGAACCCACATAGCAAGAAATGCTAGGTTATAAAAAGAAAGAAAGAAATCATTAAAGGTGCATGGACATAGATTTGAATTTCATATTTTCTGTGTAATATTACGACTTATATATTTTAAAAGCATTTCACACAAAAATACATCAAAAATCTTTTTCCATCTTAAAGTTATTAAAACTTCAAATTTTAGACGGGTTTGATTGACACATACTTGCACTTTCACAAATTTTAATTGTATTCGTAATACTTAGGAAAAGTGGCAATCTTGTTGTGTATAGATGAAAAATATAAAAACTTTAATCAAGAAAATGCAGAGTAGAAATGTATGAAAGCAAAACATATACACAGTATATTGTCAGTCCGTGCAGTTGTGGTGAGCAGACTTTTACAATTGAACGGTCCCGGTGAATCGTAAACATCAACAATAACAGAGTCCGTGCCCTGTTTACAAAAACTGTGTACGTTTCACGGATGTGATCAATTTGCTGAACTCTGTACACAACACTTAGCACTGAATGCTTGTGAGGGGGGTTTGCTTTCTAACATTTCTACTCTGAATATTTTTATTTTTCTGGATTAAAGTTTTAATATTTTTCATTAATACACAGCAAGATTGCCACTTTTCCTGAGAATTAAGAATAAAAGTAAAATTCGTGAGAGTGCAAGGATGTGTCCATCAAACCCATCCTAAAATTTGATGTTTCAAAAACTTTAAGATGAAATAAATTTTTTAATATATTTTGTGTGAAATGTTATTTAAATAAATGAGTCGTGATATTATGCAGAAAATATTAACTTCAAATCTGTGTCCATGCACGTTTAATACTTGTCCAGGTGATGAATACTAATAGGATAGTTTGCTTTCATAGATACCACAGAGTCTGACACATCTGTTTAATATTTTCACATTTGGATATTTTACTTGAAAAAGACGTTAATGGTAATCTAAAAAACCAAGCTCTGTGATTAATGTGATGACTTTAACTTTTCTATCGACAACTTTCCTTACTTATGCAGCATTCAACACCTGCAAACGGAGTTTATATATCTTAGTTTATTCGATATGCAAGAGCGTGCTCTACGTATGAACAATTTCTAAAACGAGGTAAATTATTGACAAACAGGTTGATGAAACAAGAATATCATCAATTTCGTTTAAAGTCATCATTTTCGTAAGTTCTGTGGTCGATACAATGACATTGTCAGCAAATACAATTTATCATTGAGTCAATGCTGACTGACGTTTTTCATTCTTACTGGTAGTCAATTATTTATACACTGATTTTTCTACGGATTTTTCCATTATTTCCAGATCATGAAAGGGAGCACACGGCTGGTGTGACCGGTCGGCAGGGGATGCTCACTCCTCCATGGCACCTGATCCCACCTCTAATGTTTTGGAGGTCCGTGTTTACTCTGTTTCTATTTTGTAGTGTTTTATGAACTTTGATATTGAATACTGTTCGTTATCTCCATACCCTTTATCTTCAAATCAATTGTACTTATCTTCAAATCAATTACAGACAAAACTAACTGGGTTGAATGCATAGTTATGTTAATGTAGGATTTTGAATTCTTATTTTTCTTTCAGTTTGTCAATATAAAGCAAATATTTTACCTGGAACACATCTTCCATTTTCACAACGCTCTGAAGGATAAATAGGACAATCTAGATCCTGAAAAGTTAAATCTTATTCAGTTAAAAAAAAAATTAAGAATAACATTGTCTGCAATTGTCAGTTTGAAGGTAAAAAGAAATTCATTGATCAGGAGAAATATAAATGACAAAGTAATAGCATTTGTTTTCAGGAATGGTGTGTCAACATGTAAAAACAACATCAAAAAGGCAAATAATCAAATAAGTTATATTATAAGCCTTTCATTTTTTTTTTTAAATTAACTGTTTTAATAAATGTTTTAAAATTCAGTGGTATCAGTATCTAAATTTTTATTTCTTAACAACCCTTTACCCAAAAATTATTATAAAAATTAATTTACAATACTCGTCTCTACTGACTAACTTGATTGCAGATTTACTTAAATAAACAGTTATGGAGTTGCTTTTTATGCAGATGAGAACAAGCAATTTTAAAGAATTACTCTAGTATGCCATCCACCTCTTTCGGTATCTTAGTTGATGGGATGCCTTTACTTTTAGCATATTGTGCCAAATATGAATAACTAATTATATGCGAAATTCAAAAGAAATCACCAAAATAATTTTTTATTGAAATTAGATCAAATATGAAGTCAAGATCATGACGTCAAAAATGATAACATGCTCGGAAACATCATGTCACAGGTAATGTACACGTCAAATAAGAAAGCCCTATCTCTTCTGCATCAAAAGTTAAAGGTCACGGGGTCAAAAAACATGGTATATTTAGAAATACCTTTTCATGGGTTATGTAAATGCCTAATATACATGTTTAAAATGAAAGCCCTATCTTTTGTCTTTCAAAATGTCAGACCAATGTAGTTATTTTAAATTTTTTAAAATGTAGATCAATCTATAGGTAATGTACATGCGCAGTATTAAAACCATATCTCTTTTCATTTATAAGTTTTAACAGCTAAGAAAAGGCCTATAGGTCTCAAAACACTTACCTTTAAAAGTAATTTAGCTGTAGACATATATTTAAGGAGGCTAGGGGGTTGTGGACATTTTTAGACTACATAGTATATTGATCTCCTTCTAAAGAAAAAGATCTTCATGTGAAGATATATAAAGATGATCAAATTTCAAAACTAATATAAAATGTATGAAATTTTTCTTTGGTAAATGAGAGTTTACAGCTTAAGATATCATGTCTACAAATGAGGTTATATCTGATGGCTAATTTGTTGAATCCCCCCCCCCATCTCCTTAAAGACATTTGAAGAAGTTTTGGTATAATTTTTATGACATTATTTGTGTTAAATTTACTGTAGTTTTCCTAGTTTGACCGATCGTGACAAAGCGCATGGCGATTGGCGAATCTATCTGGTCGACAGAGCATGCTTACTTTAGATATACGTACATGACAATTGATCTTACCTTTTGTTTAGAGTTCTATATTTGCTCTACACTCATCATATACTGTTTCAATGCAATTTTGTGTTTACCTCAAATCAAGAAAGGAAAAGATGAAACTGAATAAAGTACAAATGTTTTGTACAAGTGTGTTTCTTTCATGGTATACATGCAATGGTAGGATTATTTCCCTTTTCTCATCAATAACTCTCTTTAACGACATGCTATAGCAAGTAATGCAAAGTAAAAAAAAACTTTTACAGAATGGACTGTCTGACTTCGTATTCATTTTAGTACATAATACAATATCTGACATAAATAGATTTTTCATGATTCCTGTGCCTCCATGGTACCAAAGGTTAAGCAAAGCTGATATATAAGAATTGATTACGCTATTGCGTATCACTTTACCGTGTAGCACATATCTAAAATTTAAAAAAAAGATAAGAATATTAGATAAATACCTGGAATGATCATTTTAAATCAACTCTAGCTTCCTTGGTCTAAATGTAAGTCGTCCTTAGTACAGTGGTTAGAGCGCTTGCTTTAAAAGCCAGGAGTAAGGAGGTGATCCTTACTTGTAACAGTCTGTAATAGTTCTAGCAGATAAAAGTGGGGGGAGGTAAGGCTTCTTTATTTTTTGCAGTATTTTAAAAGAACTTTGTTTTACGTACCACGCTGACATATTCCTTGTTCACAACGTTGTCCTAAAGGACAGTCTTGCTGCACAAACTACAAATGTATGAAAAATAACGAAATATTAACTAAACGAACTAAAAATATAATTGATCTCCATTGATATCTTGTATATGCAAGAGTAATTAAATTACTTTGCCTGTATATTTGAGTTTCTAGATGGTACATCTTTTAAAAGATATTCAAAAAATGTCAAAAATAAAAACCATTTGATAAAACTTTTTGAAATGCTTTTTAAAGGAGGTAGTCTATAATAAATATGTATTAGCAAAGGATTGCAAAATTTAAAAAAGTTATGCTTCTAAAACATCGAGAATTCTTCTGTCTATTTTTGTTTCAAATGGGACAAAATATTGTAAACGGAATAGAATAAGTTCGACAGAGGGAAACAGGTAGTGTTACTAGGAAAACTCAGTATTGTTTCTACAAGCAGTTATTAAAGCATGATTTGTTCCCTAAATAACTACTAGCTTCCTAGGCTTAAATCAACATTTTGTCCAAACTAATTTCCTCATCTTTTTCAATTATTGTACCATAAAGTACAAAGTTGACAGTGATATACTCAATGTATCAAAAATATTATCAGAAATAAAAATCCCAATTAAATACATTTCTTGAATGGGATTTTTATTCTAAAAAAAAAAAAGTTAAAGGAGAATAATAAGAAGCTAATAAGAATTAATCGGATGTGAACCATGTTGACTGCATGTTTCACAAGATAATAATAAAAATGGTTGTTACTTACTGGATAGCACAACTGTGAAGTAACGCTGGATACAAGGGATAACAGAAGGATAAGATTTATCATCTTCTCTCCCTAGTACTGAGAAGCGAAGATCTGACGAATCTGATGGGGATTATTTTCTATAAAACTGTAAAAATGTCTGTTTAGACCACAAAAAGTATGCATAAAGTAAAACAAATAATGATGTTCTTCTTTACTTCTGAATTCCATTTCAAATTGGTACAAATCTGTTCACTGAAGTAATAGATAACTTGTTAGTTATCATGGAGAAAGTAAATTATTTGAGGAAGGTTGAAGACATAATTGTATTTATGTGCAGCATAAATTAATTTATACCATCTCTGTTAGTGTATTGTTATAAGAGAATTTTTCCGGAATTTTCAATGCCGCAATGAATTCTTGCTACTATATTATATTTGTAACTTGATCTTGTTTATCCAGACCATGCTTTCTGAAGGAAATAATTTTTGACCCACCACCTCCCCTGCAACCACTCAATATATACTCAATTGTATTTGATTAAATAATGTACGCTTACAGTGGAGTTATTGTATCGTATAAATTGTTTTTTCAATTGATATGTGTTAATAATGTCAAAATAATATATCATAACAATTATTTTGTTATGTATATATAGTACACATATATTTACATTAAAGTTGTTCTCTGATCTGATATGTTAACAATGTAACAATATTGTATACTTATTTTTCGTATGTTTCACATCCTTTTTAGAATTTGGCGTGTTTGTTCTCCCATCTTTTTTGCAAATTCTTCTAGTCATATTGGTATTTTTTACTTATGTATATTAATATCCTTATAAAGGATATATTCAAATATGGTCATAAGTAACTTTTGTACATATTTGGTTAATTTGTTTGGCATTACAATAAATGCTCATTTACAACAAACATTTTGTTTTGATCTTTGCAAAAAACAGAGCAGAGTAGACTCATTCATGGAGAAAGTAAATTATTTGAGGAAGGTTGAAGACGATGGTATAAGCCCCTGTACTGCAAAACTGGAGGCATATTATATTTTTTGGTCCGTGTGTTTGTGTGGAAATTGACCTACTTTTGTAAAAAAGTACCTTTGGTCATAACTTTTGAATAGTGCTGGGGCTTTCATATAAGCTTTCATACAGAGTGATCGCTGTTTCACAAATACATCTTGATTTTTGCAGCATTTTTTCTGGGCAGTTAAGTCCACCCATTCTTTTAGGAAATACTTGAAATGTCAGTTCTGGTTTAGAAATACTGATTTACTGGTATTTTCTGTTTTCAGTCATACTTATATTTACTGAATTTTTCAATTTATTTGACACGTATTGAAAATTTATGAGATAATTTTTAAAAAGTACGTTTTAAAAAATATGAACACATGCTTGAAACTTAATCCAGATACATGTAAATTAAGTAGAGTTCAAAACCTTGTAGAACATATAATATTCATAAATTGATTCATTTTTCGTGAGTGATGATAGGCTTTTCCTCGAGAAGTTCTTTCCTTGGTATCAATATTATTTTCCGGGCAAACATCGATTTCCAAAAACGAAAATACTATGATTCAAAATTTTACATACTACTATATTAAATGAATGCTTAAGACTCCTTTTTCAAACATTGCTTAGCTTTAAAAGACCGATATTTGTTCTGAACATTAACAAGTGCTGATTTTAAAAGTCGTATTGATAAAAAATAAAACATATAGAGATAACGAACAGTATTCAAGCTCAAAAGTCCTTTGAACAATACAAATTTGGAGCAGAGCAAACAAGGACCTCCAAAACATCAGAGGTGGGATCAGGGAGGATCAGGTGGGATCAGGTGCCATGGAGGAGAGAGCATCCCCTGCCGACCGGTCACAGCCGTGTGCTCCAGTTATCGAGAAATAACAGAAAATTCCTTCGACAGTTCAGTGTGTAAATAATGGCCTAGCAAGTAGTATGAAAAACGTCAGTGAGCATTTGACTTATTGATGGATAGAATTTAAGAAATACAGTCCGCGTTTTCGTGAATATTGATAACCTCCGAGGTCGAGAAATGTTTGAAAGATAAAAGCCGAGGCGTTATATTTCAAACAACATTTCGAGACCGAGGAGGTTATCCTACATCATTCACGACAATAAGGACTATTTCTATTTCTTCTTGAGTTCTTCTTATTTCTATTCTTCTTGAGTTCTATATAATAAGGCTGACCCTATAGAGAAACGATCACGCTGTTCCATTTAACACCAGTTTACCTACGTAAGGAAGGCAGATAATTTGAGCTTTCGCTGCATTAAAAAAAAACTTTTTATTATTGTGTTATGAATTTATTATTTTTTTTAATGTACAATGACAAAAGCAGTTTTCTATTTTATTGCTTTATCACTAAATTCAAGGAGTTCAAATATGGTGAAAGGAGGTCCATGGAACAGCCCCGCTTAGCAATAAAAACCTACATTCATTAGCTGATTTTTAAGTATGCATTTATGCAGTGTTTAGACGTTGAAAGACGACACGTCGATGTGGTCTTAACAAGTATTCATTCTATAATCAAATATTCATCACAATTGAGCAGGTTTGATACGTGTTTCTGATGACGTTCGCGATTTATTGGAGAATAATTTCCGATTTATTTCTTTGATCTCGGCAATAATCATAGTAGAATTACAGATAAGGTCATAGTATTGACTATAAAACATACTAAATGGTGATTTTAAACGAGACTTCACTCGGGAATATTTTAAAACATACTGTCTTATAGTCATTCTGTTTTTTTCTGTTTTTTCGGTAAAAAAGCGTTTAATCTAAAATTTTCAATATACACATGTATTTCCTAGTTTATTCAGGATAAACACGTATATGGAGTTCCGTAAGTAAACATCCTGTAAATTAATCTATTTACAGAATGGTTGAGGAAAGCCATGTTATTCCTGATTTCACATATTAATGTGTAACATATCAAAGAACTGAAATGGAAATTTATACACATGCTTCCTCAATCGTCAGGATTTTCGAAACATAAGTTTCAAGAAAACTGATTTGTTTTCAAACCTCTTTAGTTATGGTTCATCTTTTATTCACTAGAAAAAAAAAGTTAAAATTAATCTTTTCAGGGAATTAATCATTTCATTATCTTTATAGGTTAATTCTTTTTTATATGTTATGAACTATGCACAATGTTGCATCTGAATTTCCACAATCATATTAAAATTTTAAAGTCTGTCTACATAGAATTCAATTAGATACAAATTAAGTAAAATCAAAATTATTAAGGCTCAAGAAAGTAGTATTTACATGTAGTTTTGCATAAAGTAAATATATAATACACCCATCAAAATTTCAAAATCACCATTGAATTTTGAGTACAATGTGTGAAGATGACGAAAGGTTAATAATATCAAAAAATCTACAACTAAAAACAGTCTGTAAAACAAGGACCCTTGGATAATCTACACCTGGGATTAGGTATCAGTAAGGGTTAATCAACCCCTGCCGACCGGTCATTCCCACCTTGGACCCTATGTGTTGAACAAATAGCGGAAGAATTTGTACTACTTTATTTTACAACTTAAGGAGAATCTTTGCACAAATTTTGATGATTTGGCTACTACTTTTCTCACGTAATCACTAGATACATGTACATGTATACAAAAACTTGTCAAAAAGACAATTTTCGTATATATATTGATTACGTAAAATCATATATAGTATGTTACAAGCCCCTGTGTTTTCAGAAACCCATAAAAACAAAATATCTGACAAATAATTAAATAAAAAATTGGAAAAACCTTTATTTTCACTCAGGAGCCATATAAAGTAAAAACTAATTGGATGCTATAACAGACATTTATGTCATCCAATTTAATGATTTGTTTGGCAAACCCTCACAATGATCGATATTTGGTAATTTTTCAGTAATTTTAAAATGAGATATAATGAGATATAATGTTTCTACTTATGATTTATATTTATGATAAATGAAAGTAACAGTATTTCTCTTTCAAAGAAATGTTTTATTTACCCACTTTTTACATGCATACGCACATGTAAAGATAACTGGGAAATGTTATCCTTTTTTATCCTCAACTCCCTTTCAAAAGAGAAATACATTTGTAATAACTTAACGTTTCCAGAGGTTTTTATGAAGGATAAAATGTTTTTGTAACTTTATATGAATAAATATCTCCTCTTTTCTGAAAAAAGAATTCAAAAGGCGACAGAATCATGTAGATTATCAAAGATGTATATTTCTAGAAGGCCATGTCATGTTGTAAAGTAATATAAAATTTCATGTTGTAACATTTACTGTGTGGCAGTAAAATACTATAAAATTTCATATTGTAAAATTAAAATTTACTGTGTGGCAGTAAAATATTATAAAATTTCATATTGTAAAATTAAAATTTACTGTGTGGCAGTAAAATACTATAAAATTTCATATTGTAAATTTTGCATTTACTGCCACCTCTTGAATTCAAAATTTACACCATGAAAGCTCTATGGAGTATCTAGGCTGTAACTTTAAAATTGAAAATTTACATAAACAGAAATTTAGTTTAAAACAAATACCTATGCATATACACTGTACTACTAGTATTATGTACAGCAGATTTCGATAGATTTTATGTAGAGGATAGATAATATCTTGACAGTTTTAAATAATATAAAAGTTACCTTTCAGTGGTTATTCCAAAACATTAAGTTTGAACTTGGAAGCTTCCAGGTATTTATATATTATTTCATATGCAAATAGTAAAATGTCCTATGAACTAGACTGGATTCATCATTTGCTTACCTTGCAGGTTTGATGAATTACATAATTGAGTTCGACGGATTTTCCAAGTTCATTAAAAGAACAGATTTCATTAAACGAATTACTGAAGCATTTTTCTTTAATATAAATCTTAGTATTCTGTCTCTGACTTTATATGCATGCAAGGAAAATAGTATCTACATATTTTTATTAGTATTAAAAATTATGCTTATTTTTAAAAAAATATTTATTTAAGAAATTTGTTGACATTAAGTACATGTCTTTTCTTTAGGTAAAATAATAGAATTCAGGAAAAATGTACATGTAGGTTTTCCCGATTTTTTTTTTTTTTTTTTTTTTTTGATTAAATTACGACCGATAAAACCAAC